GCGAGTGCGGCAAGGAGTTTCGCTTCCTAAGTCATCTGATGCGACACATGCGGACCCATACAGGCGAGAAACCTTACAGATGTGAGGAATGTAACAAAAGCTTCGGTCTGCTGAGTCATCTGAAGCGACACATGCGGACTCACGCCGGTGAGAAGCCGTATCAATGTGAGGAATGTAGCAGGTGGTTTGGTAGGCTGGGTGATCTGAAGACGCATATCAGAACCCACACGGGTGAGCAACCCTATAGATGTGAGGAATGTAGCATGCGGTTCACTGCGCTGGGTAGTCTGAATACTCACATGCGGATTCACACTGGTGAGAAACCATATAAATGTGAGGAGTGCAGCAGGCGGTTCAGTCAGCTGGGCAATCTAAAGACTCACATGCGGACTCACACAGAAGAGAAACCCTACAGGTGTGATGAATGCAGCAGGCAGTTCATAACACTGAGTAATCTGGAAACACACATCCGGACTCACACTGGGGAGAAACCCTACAGGTGTGAAGAGTGTGGCAGACAGTTCAGTGAGTGGAGTACTCTGAAGAAGCACATAAGAACTCATACTGGTGAGAAACCTTACAGATGTGAGGAGTGCAGCCGGTCGTTTAGTACACTGTCACATTTAAAGATACATATGCGGACTCACACTGGTGAGAAACCGTACAGATGTGAGGAGTGCAGCAGACAGTTCAGCACAAGCAGCAATTTAAAGAGACACGTCGTGCGAACTCACAGAGCGCAGAAACCGTACATGTCTTAAAAAGGCAACAAAAGCTTTCGTAAGAGTGCCAACTGAAAAGCCTGTCAGTTTCTTTATAAAGGTTACTGAGTGGGAATGTCCTTACTTTTTGATCTCATAGTGTTATTCTTCTTCAAACGAAACCGCTTATTATTTTTACTATTTTTTTTCTGTCAGTAGTGTATTCTAAACATGATTCCAATGTAATAGTTAACAATAGCGGTGATTATATATCACGATTAATGCATGGTCCGTAGCGTGTTGATTATAGCTGGAAGTCTTGTGTAAAATGCGACAATGTAGTAGTTCAGCCCATACACATACCATATATAGTAACTACTTACTAACGGTGACCACCGTTATATAGTAACTAATAAGCTAAGAGGCTCTCTTCACCTCCTGGGATGTGACCGTTATTAGTAACCTCACTGCTTTACTATAGAAAATAAACGGTCGGGTGTAGTCCTCGCGAGAGTTGTAAAATCCGTCGCGAGATAATGCGAGACTAGACTTGCGGTTGCCGGCTTAGCTGAAATGGACGACAAACGGGACGGCCTGGCGATTTATATTTTCTCTTCATCTCTACTCTGACCTGGACCAATTCCTGGACCATTTATAGGCTACTACATATTCTGCAGGTTAGTCACTAGCTCACTGGACTCTCAGTCCTTGTTGTTTAGGTGATAAATCCGCGTTGCGTTGAGGCACGACTGGGCTGTTTTCTCTCAATTCTTCGCAAATAGCCAGTGAATATGTTTGGATATGTGGTTAGCAGCCAAAAGAAGATTTTAGTAGTCAAATATCAACTGCCTATGTAATACATTTGATTTGGTAATGGTATATATATAACTACGTATACGTAGGTGTGTGTCTGTATGCTGTGTTGGGGGTGGGGGCGACATTCAAATGTACGCGCGCCCGGGTGATTCCATTCCAGAATGGGGGTTGGGGCAGGCTACTCTCCCAAGCAGAGGTTTGGGTTTTGGGGGTATTTTAGCGTGTTTTATGCTTTTTATCGGGGTTTCTCTTTTGTCACTGAATTTTTTTCCCACCAAAGTTTGAAAACATGCTAAAAATACCCCCAAAACCCAAACCTCTGCTTGGAGAGTATTGGGCAGCATCAAACTACATGTATAATATATACGTTACACTGTAACTTGACTAGATGTAGTATCATCAATGAGCTTGGTATCATATTATGAAGGACATTACATCATTGACCATACATGTCACTAAGACAGCATTAGTTTGATTACGGGTTACTATTTCCCTATACACATGTATCTAAATAGAAAATAGAACATTAAATGTTTTTTAATTCAAATTTTCAACCTTCTTGGCATTATGGATCATATATTTGTACATGTATTTTGTCATAAAACAGATTCATGAGTTGCATTTTATTTCATGTTTCTTTGACCCTCATCCTGTTTATGCTAAACAGAGTTGTCACTCCCTAGTTATTAATTAAAGGGAAAGGATAAAGTCATTTCTCACCACTCATTATCATCCCCATCAG